AAGGCCCCCCCCCCCCCAAATCTGACTACATCTTTTAAAACATGTTTGATTTTATTACTTCTATGAAAAAGAGAATGACCAGCAACAAAATTGCCCTAGCATTATTTTAAAATTAACAATGAAACATTTTCAAGCAACATTTGTATCACTTTATTTTTTTGCCTGAGAGTGTACTGTATTCTGTTTAATTTTATTTAGTTGAGCTTTGTTTATTTTAGCAAAGCACATAAAATGCAGAAAAACATGCAAAGTAGGAGAAATACCTATTTACTACATAACCATTTAGAAAGAAAAGCTGAATAGATGGCAGAAGAAAAGGAAGCAATATGCAGAAGGGCTATGCATATTAAAGGCCACTAAACTTGTATTACAGGAAGGAATTCATTACGAAGGAGCAGGTAGATTAGATATACAGGGAGAAACTTCCTAATAAGAGCAGCAGTAACAATATTGCAGCCAGACTGCAGCAGTTCTCTCAAGCTGCCAAATCTGTATAGAAAAATCAGACTGTAGAATTTGCTAAATACAATTCAAAACTGGCAACATCAGTGTTACAGCGAGATTTAGCTTGCTCTCGATATCCCTATGGATGTTTTTCCACAAATTTGTATCATTAGTTTCTTTTCTTTTCATAATTATGCTGAGTTACTTGAAATTTATCAATTGGTATTTCAAAGTCAAGTGTGTTAGACACAACCTCAGTAGGATTGTAAGAATGAGGACCAGCACACACGCAGCTTATATAGTCTGATCATATTCATGTTTTCTGTTCTCAGACCTGTTGTGGTCAGTGTGACCTGTTCTTTGTATCTGTGCAGAAGATAGTGACCTCAGTGTTAAATAAAACGCATGCATTCACACTGCCAGAAGTACCTCTGCACAGAGTTTGTGATATTGCAAATTTAACTAATCATGTATAAAATATATGTGCAGCCCCATGGACTGAGATCACAATGATGCAGAAGTAATTATGCTTCATCAACTTATATGAACAAGTCATGAGCAAGATGTTCCTGGTCTAATTCAGTTGCACAATAATGTGGCAGTTGCAAAGCATTTACTTTTTATGTTGAATGGACAAAGACTTCAACTGTCTTTAAAACCCAGTAATTTAGTGATGCTGCATAAATAAAATTTGTTAAGGACTCAGTGTATAAATCAGTTCAATTCACCATGCAATGCAGGTTAATGAACAACATACTATATCTTTAGGGTCCTCTGTAGATTAAACAGAAACTGAAACTACAACAGTTCCTCAAAGGCACCAGCACATTGCAATAGCCATATGCCACCACATAAATGTAGTGTATCTAAATATGCTGACCTACATTTGTAATACATTCACGTTATCAGATTAAGCAGCTTAATTCAGGAACATAAAACAACAGAAGAATGCAGTGGTGAGGGATGCCTTCTACCAGTTGAAGCTAATTTATCAGCTTCACTGCTTCTTGAATAGACCTGACCAAAACTCTGTGATCCCTGCTCTGGTTACCTCCCATGTAATGTGCTTTACATGGGATGCCTCTGAAGGGAACTTGGAAGCTACAGTAGATCCAGGATGCAGTGGTCAGGCTTCTGCTAGGTATTCCTTATTGGGGCCAGTGACACCAGTCCTGACTGAGCTTCATGGGCTACAAGCTGCTTTCCAAACCAAATTCAGTGTGCTTGTTTTAACATAGAAATCCCCACACAACTCAGGACTTGTCTATCTAAAAGAACAAGTCTCCTATATTACAAACAAGGAGCTCTGTTCATCAGCTAAGGGCCTGTGGGGTGATGGCCAGGAAGGAGGCCCAGCAGAAATCAATCAGGTCCAGGACCTTCTCCGTGGCAACTCCAATGCTATGGAATTCTCTCTCTGATTAATGG